TTCCTGTGCCAGGCAACAGCTGACTGCAGAGCCCATGTCTCCATCCCCCCTCCTTGCCCCCTGTCAGGCTTTTCTGGGATGGATCACAGTCCCCTCATGGTACCCCTGGCAGCTGCTGCTGCCTTCTTGGAAGAGCAGGGCTGTCTTCGCTTCCCATCCTGGATCCTGCCCTTGCTTTTGTGGTGCAACCATCCCGTGGGACCTTCTCAGCAGGTGGCAGAGGATAAAGCAAGGCTACAGCTGCCCTCACCTGCAGTACGGGGACACTGCCCTGGACCAGCAGGTCCCAGTACACGAGGATCTGCCATGGGTGGGGAGGGGGCCTCTGCCAGCCCACCTCTGCTGCCAGAGGGGTTCTGCTAAGCCGCACACCTGCCTGGCGAGTTCCTGCCCTGGCTGGGTCTTGCTGTGACCCCCTGTGAAAGGGTCCTGAGAGGGCTCCCTTCAGCAGGTAACATTGTTGTCCCCGGGGTGGCCAGCCTGCCACAGCAGGAACAGGGGATGCTGGTGGCATGCAGCGTGCCAACCCTCCATGGCCCAGGAAGGGAGCAGCTGGCACTGCTGGAAGCGATGTTGTGTGCCATCTGGCTGGTGTGTTCTCCAGGGCCTCCTCCAGGACCTGTTGGCTGGGGCTGCCTGGGGCTCCTGCAGGGCAGGGGAGCGTCCGGGGCACAGCCTCCTGCCTGGGGATCTGCACACCAGGGCACCATGGGGAGCCGAGCTGCAGGCAGGGTGCTGCAGGCACAGGGCAGGATGCAGGCAGGCTGCCAGCCAGATCCTGTTGGCTCGAGTCCGGGCACAGTGAGCGGACGGACCTGTCTGGTGGTGCTGCTGTGGAGAGTTGCACAAGGGGCCAGGAATAGAGCAGCAGGAGGTGATTAGAAGGTGTGGGGCCCGTCTGGGCGGCAGCAATAAATAGACGAGGCTTAAGCCCCTGCCTACCTGGGCAAGGCTGCTGGGCATGCCTATCCACACAAGGCAGCCACAGCCTGTCCTTGCTCCCTGCCATGGCTGAACCCATGGCTCCAATCCTGCTGCCCGCCCCGGGCCAGTATCTTCCCGTTGCTGCGAGCAGAGCTGAGGGAATGGTACTGACTGGGAATCCTGGCTGTAAGGACATGTGCCCCAGCCCAGTGGCCACAGCAGTGTGGGAACATGGTCCTGGATGTGTCCTTCAGGCTGGCTGTGGACACTTCTCCACTGCCCTCCTGGGGCAGGTGCTGCCTCTGACCTTGCTCTGTCCTGTGGTGCTGCAAATCCCTCTGGCCCAGCACCGTGACTGCTGAATCGGCAGCACAGGCTGCTGCCGGCTGCCCTTGCTCCTCCAGGGATGCAGGCAGGATGCTGCCTGCCAGGGATGCTCAGTGCCCAGCTCTAGGGTAGCTGAGCTCCTGTGCCCCTTGAGGATCTCTGGAGTGAATGCCACATGTGTGTCTAGCTCTGGGCTGGGTGTTTGCTGGGAATCAGATGCTATGCTGGCTCCAGGGTCTTAGGTGGGGTGGGACAGGGCTGATACAAAAAAAAAGGGTCATGTAGTTCCTTGTGTCACCACACACTTGCCCAGGAACAGTTGCCTGGGGAACATGGCTCAACCCACAGCTGATAGTGGTGGCTGTACCCCGTGGCTGTGGTGTGTGGCATCACCTTGCCTGGCAGGTCACTGTGTGGGCACAGGTATCCTTCCTGCCTGACTGGAGCCTCCCTTTCCCTGTGCCCTGTCCCTGCAGGATGGGTGCTGCCTGGCCCCAGGGAGAGGGGTGACAGGAAGGAGCTGTTGTCACTCATTGTCCCCAGCTCAGCTGGGAGTGACAACAGCTCCTTCCTGCACCATGCATCCGGCCCAGCCGTGGGGCCAATGGGACTGGGCTGTTCCCACGAGGCCACAGCCCGGTGCAGGAAGGGCCTGGTGGTGTTGGACTGGCATGGGGGTGGCCCAGATCCCTGATCAGTGCTGGCTGCTGAGGGTCTCTGGGGACATGGCTGGGGGCTGTTTTGTGGGGAACCAGCTCAGTTCAACCCATTGCTGGGGCAGGGGTGGGCTGACAGCCCTCCACCACAGCCATGTCCTCTGCTCCCATGATGCCCTGGACACTGTGTGCCTGCTGTCTTGCCTGCAGCTGGTCCCTGTCATCCTGGGGTGGGCAGAGGGGACAGTGAAGTCCTGACCCCCCTGTGCTGCAGCTCAGCCTCCGTAATCCCCTTCTCATTCCGACTGACCAGCTTATTTCCTGGCTAATTCCCCAAGCTATAAATACTGCTCTGCCTCAAAGGCCCCTGAGGCCCCGTGGCCACCTCATGGGGCAGCAACTGGTCCCCCTAACATGGGGGCAAGAGCCCTTGTCCTTTCTGAGGGCAAAGGGGGTCACTTGCAGGAGCAACTGCTATAGGGCCAGTGAGATCTTGGGCAGAGCTAGCTCTAGCCCAGTTCCCCCTGGCTGCAGTGGGGACTGCCCTTCACCAGGCAAGGTGATCCCTCAGATCCTTGCTGGGGTGTGAGTGGTCCCCAGTTATCTGTGGATATGGGGAAATGGGTGTCTCAGGGCCCAAGGGAGAGCCGTGTCCCTTATCTGACCATCTTCCCCCTCCCCAGGCCGCAACGAGCCCCTGAAGAAGGAGTGTCCCAAGTGGAAGAGCGATTACCCCATGACAGATGGGCAGCTGCGCAGCAAGCGGGATGAGTTTTGGGACACGGCACCTGCCTTTGAGGGCCGCAAGGAGATCTGGGATGCCCTGAAGGCAGCTGCCTATGCCGTGGAAGCCAATGACCACAGCCTGGCCCAGGCCATCCTCGATGGAGCCAGCATCACCCTGCCCCACGGTGAGGGTCAGCACTGGGGGTGTGGGTGGGATTGGAGCTGAGTGCCTCATATCTGGGCACATGGGGATCCCAGGTTGGAGCGGGGAGGGACACACAACTGCCATCCACACAGCTTCAAGGCGGGCTCCGCCGCACTGCCTGGGGTGGCCCTGTCCATATTTGGGTGATCCATGGGGATGACCTCCTTCAGCATCTCATCCTACTGTCCCCAGGGTCCCTGACAGAGTGCTACGATGAGCTGGGCAACCGGTACCAGCTGCCTGTCTACTGCCTGGCACCTCCTGTCAACCTGATCCTGGAGCGGAGTGAGGAAGAGGCTGTGGAGCCGGCCGAGCCCCTGCCCAACACCCGGCGGGAGTTCGCTCTCAAGGTGCGGCTCTCCACCGGCAAGGACCTGAGGCTCAGCGCCAGCATGGGCGACACCGTCGGGCAGCTGAAGAAGCAGCTGCAGGCGCAGGAGGGCATTGACCTGGCCTGGCAGCGCTGGTTTTTCTCAGGCAAGCTGCTCACTGACCGCACACGACTGCAGGAGACCAAGATCCAGAAGGATTTTGTTGTGCAAGTGATTGTCAACCAACCCCTGCCACCCAGGAACTGAGCCACCCCCCACTGGTTGAGGGGAGAGGGGAAGGGGCTGGGGGACAGTGGCACCTCTGGGGATGCCCCATGCTGTGTTCCAGCCCTGCTGGAGGCGGAGCAGCCCCTGCTCCCCCCTGAGGCTGCCCCCTACCAGGGTGACCCGCCAGGAAGGTTTGCGTGGGGCTCTGCCACTGCAGCGGCCCCTCTTGCCTGGGGACACGGGCAGGCGCCGTGTTTTCTGCAGGAGGTTCGAGACCAAATGTTTCTGGGGCTGGGGCTCCTCTGCCAGGCTGTGCCGGCAGGGAGAGGCTGTGACCCACTGGGCTCTGGCTCCCCCTGGCCTGGAGACCTGTGGGATGCTGGGCTGGGTGGAGATGTCTCCCCTCTGTACATAGTCTGTATTTATCAATAAAGCCTTTTCATCCTTCCTCTGGCCTCAGGAACAGGCTGGAGGGGCCTGTCACCCACAGCCCCAGGAGATCCCCATGCCTGTCCTATATCTTCTCCCATGTCAGGATAAGCACAGGGTGGCCAAGGGTAGCCTGGACACCCCAGCTCTGCTGCCTAGTGCTGCCCTGATCCTGTCCTGACAGCTCTGACCCTTTGCCTCCCTGGACCCTTTCCCAGCACATCCTCCCACTATCATCCTGGCTGTTTCTATGTGTGGGATGACCGCCTCCCTTTCCCACTGCTTCCCCTCTGGAGGTTCAAGCCTATGTCTGCCCTGGGGCCAGGTGGGACAGTCCATGGAGGGGGAAAATCCCAGGACCACCTCCATGGCCTGTCCTGGTAAAAATAGTGCCTTTGTCACCTAAGGGTGGCCCTGGGGACTGCCCAGGAGGGTGACAGTGACGTGTTGCCATCAGTCCCTCCCATGGCTCCTGGGTTGGGGGATAGTGCTCAGCGCATTAACTGTTCCAGCACAGGACAGTGCTGGCCTCATCTTACAAGGGGAGAGTGCTCAGAAGGGTTGAACAATGTTCCTGCTGCCGGGAATAGCTGCCAGCTCTGCCTGTCAGCTCCACGTGAGGCCAGTCCTGCTGCCAGGCTGCCGTGTGCAGTGGAGGAGGCTGGACAGCCACAGGGACCCTTGGCAGGGCTGCTCGGAACGTTCCGCACCTGAGGTCATCCTCTAAAGCAGCACAGAGAGGCCGTGACTTCTGGCATCCCATGCTGCCTGCTGCTGGCTGAGAGGCTTGGGAGGACCCATTGCCTCCTGTGGGAGTGGGTAGCTTCTCCCCCCACCCCTCCTCCAGTCCCAGGTGCTGGGAAGCCTTGGGCAATGCTGGTGCTGCTGCAGCATCTGGTTGCACAGAGATGGGGTAAGGGGAACCATGAGAAGCATCTGGGATGCCTAGGGTGGGTTGCACAGGCACTGTGCCTATGGGATGGCCCTGGATCACATCCCTGCTCTGCTGAGCCTCTCTTGACAGGCTGACATGAGTTCTGTGTACCTCAGCTCCCCATTACAAGCACAGGAGTCCTGGGCAAGCCATGGGGTAGCAATGGGTCTCTTTAAGAGCAGGGCTGGAGAGGTAAGTTAGGGCCACCAGAAAGCAGCAGCGTGAGCTCATGGCAAAGCTGCCCCAGTCATGTGGAGCAGCCACAGCTGTTGGTGCCCTTGGGCTGCAGGACGGAGGGGCCGGCAGCATAAAGCCCCACAGCCAGTGGAGCTGCCGGCAGCACCGGGAGCCAGGACTGGGCACTCCCTACCTGTGGTGGCAACGAGAAAAGGATACATCTTGCACGGGACTGTGCACTGTGGGCAGACATGGAGCTGGATGTGGAACGGGCCAAGGAGCTCATCGAGCAGAAGCTGGCAGAGGAGGAGGAAGAGACGGTATGTCCATACTGCAGGGGAACCTGCCTGGGCTGTGGCAGGGACTGCCATTGCGCTGTGCCCACCCTTAGGGACTTGGATGTGAAGAGGCTGGCACAGACCTTGCTGTCCTAGGGGATGCAGTGAGGTAGCCTAGGGCTCTCAGGGGAATCAGGTTCCCAAACTGACATCTCTTGCCCATGGGGCAGAGCTGAGCAGCAGGCAGGTGCCCAGCTTTTCAAGTAGGATGGGTGGGCATGTGCAAAACCAAGGGCTATCAGGCACCCTGTAGAGTTCAGTGGCAAGCTGGGAGCTGTGTCCAGAGCCACCTCTACCGGCAGGCTAGGGATGGAGACAGTGGGGCTGCTGAGTCCCCAGCCAGGACCATGCAGCCCCCAATGTGCCTGTGCAGAGACTCAAAGGGAATGGCGCACGGGAGCCACCGACTGTGGAGCGGATGAACACACCCGAGCTGGAGGAGGAGAAGCACCATGGTCCCAGGAACTGGGGCCTCGAGGCCATCAAGGTGAGGGGGTTAGGGTGCAGGTGGGCCAGGGGTAGCTGGGCACAGAGAAGTCAAACAGGGCACTGCATGTCCTCACCAGGGCCAGGAGAGGGTGCGGAGGAGTTCAGTGGATCTGCGGCGAGAGATCATCGATGTGGGGAGCATCCAACGACTCATCGAGCTCCGCAAGCAGCGTCGGCAGCGCCAGGCAGAGCGGGCGGCCACCCCTGAGCCCTTCCAGCCACCTGAGCCCTTGGAGATTGTATGTCAGTGGGTTCCAGGCTGTGGGAGGGGGCTGCTGGGACAGAGGCTGGAGGGAGCACCTATGGGCCACTCCCAGGTCACCCTGCCAGTCAGGGACCTCCCTGGGGAAGCAGGGCAGGGACCCCCCATGTTGTCTCCTCTCCTCCACCCCTGTGATGCCCCAGCCCTGAGCCTGTCCCACTGCTAGGTGGGTCCTGTGGAGCCAGAGACCTTCCTGCGAGCCGCCGTTCAGGGCAAGATGCACATCATCGAGAAGTTCCTGGCAGACGGTGGCCCCGCCGACACGTGTGATGAGGTAGCATCACCGACAACCACTGGCTGCCCTCTGCCTGTGCCCTGCCACCATGTCCCACAACCACGCCCCGGCATAGCTGTGGGCAGGGCCTGGGACCCCTGGGACAGGGCTGGAGGTACAACCAGACTGGGCCGGGGGAGGATGGATCTGTCCACCAGCATGGCACCTTGTTCCGCAGTTCCACCGCACAGCCCTGCACCGCTCCTCGCTGGAGGGACACATGGATATCCTGCAGAAGCTGCTGGACAGTGGGGCCACGGTTGACTTCAGGGACCGGGTGAGGCTGCATCCTGAGCCCAGCTCCATGCTGGTCTGAGCCTCTGGGCATAGTGCAGTCAGAACTACAGTAGTATTGAGGTCCCTGCAATGGGGCAGCGCTGTCCCTACCACAGAGGTGGCTACGGGCAGGGTTCTGCCAGTTCAGCTTGGGCACAGGGACCAGCTGGAGTGAGGGATAGACACGGGGTGGGGGTGTCCCCTGCCATAACGCACTCCTGTGTGCCCAGCTGGACTGCACTGCCGTGCACTGGGCCTGCCGGGGTGGACACCTGGATGCTGTCAAGCTGCTGCAGGACCATGGGGCAGACCTCAATGTGAAGGACAAGGTGAGCAGGGCAAAGCTCGGGGTCACAGGATTGGGGGCACGGGCATACCCTGGGTGAGTGGGCTGGCCCTGTGCTGAGTTAGCAGGAGTGGGTGCTGATCCCCCCTGATGTCCATCTCCCCTCTCAAGCTGCTCAGCACACCCCTCCATGTGGCCACCCGGACCGGACACCTTGACATCGTGGAGCACCTCATCCACTGCGGGGTGGATATCAATGCCCCAGACAGGGTAAGGGCTGGCACACCTGGACAGCACTGGGGGGGGCAACACTGATCCCCCTCCCTTGGTTGACCCCTCCAAAGGCTCCTAGCACCCACGGTGGGGCACATCTGGGCACACACATCCCTGCCCCAGGGTGGTGGCACCCACAGCCAGGGCTGGGACAAGCACTGTTCTCCTTGTTCTCATGGGGAGGGGGTGTGCTGGGAGCTGGGGACAGGCAGGGAATCCCTGTCCCTGGACCACAATCCCCAGTGAGGCTGTGTCTCTCACAGGAAGGGGACACTGCGCTGCATGATGCTACACGGCTCAGTCGCTACAAGATCATCAAAAAGCTGATCCTGCATGGGGCTGACATGATGGCCAAGAACGAGGTGAGCATGGGGGGCTGGCACCAAGGCCATTTGCTGAGGCACTGTGTCACACCACCCCAACCACAGCTTCTCTCTGCTTGTTCTTGCAGGCTGGCAAGACCCCGACGGACCTGGTGCAGCAGTGGCAGCTGGACACGCGCCAGGCACTGGAGACCAAGGAGCAGCCACAGGGGGAGATGGAGGTCCCCGCATGATGGCGCCAGGAAGGGACGAGGGATCAGGCTTGGCTCCAGGGATGAGACTTGTCTGTGTCAATAAAAGTCATCGAAGAGCAGCATTCAACTCCAGAGTGCTGTGGGGCTGGGCACTGGTGTTGATGGGCCTGGGGAAGCTGAGTTATCCCAGGTGTAGGTTGTCTGGCAGCGTAAGTCCTGCCTCCTATCATAGGAACTCAAATGTTGGTGACATCATGATGCCAGGACACAAGTGGTTCAAGGGCAGGACTCTTTGCTGCAGGACACCCTGGTTGCTCACAGTCGTTTAAAGTACCACCTGGGCAAGCTCAGGGAGGAAAATTCATGGAGGGCATCTCAACTCAAGTCCACATGGTGCTGGTGGCTAGGACTGTGGCAGAGAGCTGCCCCTGCTGGGCAGCCACTCTGTGGGGCTGGATGGTTGCTTGTCCTCCTGCCTTCCCCACTGGAGCCATCCCTGGGGACACATGGTCCCTTTGCAGGCTGGGACCTTTCTGCTGAGTGCAATGCTCACTGCTCCCAACCCAGAAGTGCTCCCACTCGCCTGTTTACAGGAGACCCTACACTAACAACTGAGGCAGGTGATCCCTGCCCACAACCCCCGGACTGCCTAAAGTGTCTGGTCCCTCCCTGGTTCTGCAGTCCAGCCCTGTAGGAGGCAGAGGGACAGCTGCCAGGGCGGGCAAGCAGAAAGGAAAGCACAGCTGGGGTGGCTGGGGCTCACCTGGAGGGGTGCTGAGCTTCTGCAGCCAGCTCCTGGAGTGGGGAAGAGCATCACCTGGTACCACCCCCCATGTCATCTGCCCAGCAGGGTTGCGGGTCTCTCATGTGCCCTGTCAAACATTAACAGCCCTCGGCGGGGCAGGCAGCACAGCCAGCAGCAGCACCCAGACCACCATGGCACTCAGCACCCGCCTTGCCTCATCTCTCTGGCCCACCTTGGCAGCGCTGCGCTGGGCAGCCCCCAGGCAGTGCCGGGGGCTCAGCACTCCCCAGGGACCAGAACCCTCACTCGACCTCAGGGGCATCTTCCCACCCCTTGCCACCCCCTTCTCAACCACAGGGGAAGTGGACTATGCCCAGCTGGAGGGGAACCTGTCCCGCTACGCCAGCATCCCCTTCCGAGGTAAGCGTTGCCTGCTCTCCCTCTCTGTGCAGGCTCCTGTCGGATCCCTGCCTGCCACAGAGGCTGTGTGGCAGTGTGCAGGCAGCCTGCCAGCTTCCCAAGGGTGCTCAGCCTCCAGCTGGACTTTGCTCCAGAGCTGACAACCCCTCGGGTGACCCACCTGGGGCCCTTTGCACAGCACGTGCCCAGGCACATGTGTGTGTCCTTGCACACCCCCATCACATGCAAGCGTGTGCTTGCATGCACACTCCTCACATGTGCAGGCTTGTACACATCCTCCACATGTAGCTGTAGCTGCAGGCTTGCATCTACCCTGTGCCCTATGGGTGTACTTGCACTCCTGTGCACACTCACACACATTCATAGGATATGTGTCTGTTGATTGTCCAGGATAGATGGATAGCAGACAGGCTGCAGAAGAGGCTGGGGGTCACAGGGATGTGCCCTGGGGTCTCCTCTCTTCTGATGAGAGCGTCTGGGGCTGCAGGGATGTAGGCAGGAGAGGGCATACTGTGGGTTGCAGAGAGCCCTGATTGGGTGCCAACAGCAAAGAAGGGAGCGAGAGTGATGGGGATACCTGGAAGTACCCTCCCCATGCTTGTGTTCCAGGGCTGGTGGTGCTGGGCTCCAACGGGGAGTATCCCTACCTGGCGCCTCATGAGCGGCTGGAGGTGGTGAGCTGCGTGCGCCGGGCTCTGCCCAGGGACCAGCTGCTGCTGGCCGGCTCAGGCTGCGAATGTGAGTGCCTGCATGGGCAGTGCAGGGGGCACGTGTCCCCTCCGGGCCACCCCTCACCCCTCTGCCTCATCCCCAGCCACCCAGGCCACCATCGAGCTGACTGTCAACATGGCAGAGGCAGGGGCTGATGTGGCACTGGTTGTGACACCCTGCTATTACCGGGGGGCCATGACCAGTGCTGCCCTCATCCATCACTACACCGAGGTGAGCCACGTCCAGGGCCTGTGGCAGTCTCAGCTGGGGCAGCAGCATGGGGAGCATGTTCAACGGGTCTCCAACCCACCCAAGCCACTGAGCTCTGCCTGGCTGCCTGCAGGTCGGTGATGCATCCCCCATCCCCGTGGTGCTCTACAGCGTCCCTGCCAACACCGGCCTGGACCTGCCCACAGAGGCTGTTGTCACCCTGGCTCAGCACCCCAACATCATTGGGATCAAGGACAGCGGTGGGGATGTGAGTGGAGCAGGGCTTTCCCAGGGCTGGCTGTCACCAAACCTGGCCCCAAGCTGGGAACAAGGAGCTGGGACTTGCAGCCCTTCCCCAGACCCCAGCCCTGCTGGCATGAACCACGTGGCGAGGGGGATCAGGTGATGCCTGCTCCAGGGCACAGTGTGTCTCTCCCCAGATCACCTGCTTGGGGCTGATGGTCCACAAGACAAGGCAGGAGGATTTCCAGGTGCTGGCAGGATCGGCTGGCTTCCTGCTGGCAAGCTACGCCGTGGGTAGGTGCAGCTGCCTCTCCTTGGCTGGGGGCACAGGGTGCTGCCCTGGGGATACTGGCAGAGACTGGCAGGTGGGCAAGGGGAGGCAGGCAAGGGGTGGTGATGCCTGGGAGGTGCTGGCTGAGCACAGCATGTCAAGCTGGCTGCCAATGTGCCCTGGTGTCTCTTAGGTGCATCTGGGGGGATCTGCGCCCTTGCCAACATCCTGGGGGCCCCCCTGTGCCAGCTGGACCGCCTGTGCCGTAAGGGACAGTGGCAGGAGGCCCGTGACCTGCAGCACCGTCTCATCGAGCCCAACACAGCAGTGAGCAGGCAGCACCCCTGGGATGCTGAGGGGAGAGGGTGACAGGCCATGGCAGAGCCAGGGGGAGGCAAAAGATAGAAGTCCCTGGGGCTGCAAGGGGTGGAGTGGTAGTCCAGAGCAACAGGATGGCACAGCACCTGGCCAGTGAGCTGAGCTGGGCTGGAGGTGAGAGGGTGGGAAATGCCAGCCCTGCCATGTTAAGGAACTGCATGTCCACTGGCAGCAGGCACCTGCCTGACCCACTGTGAGAGCCTTGCTGGCTATTTATAGGCAAAAACAGGGGGAAGAACTGCTCCTTCCCAAGCCCCCCAGCCCACTGTGGAGTAGCCTGTCCCTGCTACAATGAGCCCACCATGCCACAGGGCTGCTCCCCTGTGCAGCTGTGCTCTGCACCCCCATACCACAGTGGGCAGTTCATGGGGTGCCACAGTCACCTCACACCCTGCCCAGCCTTGCAGCCCCACAAGGGGAGGGCAGGAGTGAAGGTGAGTGAGAAGCAGGGGCTGCAGGGCCCACAGAGCATGCTGGCCCATGGGAGCAAGCCCCTGCATCCTCCCTCCCACAGGTCACCCGCCGGTTTGGGGTCCCGGGGCTGAAGAAGGCCATGGAGTGGTTTGGCTACTACGGGGGTCCCTGCCGTGCACCCCTGGCCCCACTGAGCCCTGCCCAGGCTGAAGAGTTGAGGAACACCTTCAGCACCAATGGCTGGTTGTAAGGGGTCCCCCATCTGCCCTTTCCCACACCAGGAAGGCACAGGAGTCAGGAACCTCAGGAACTGGGGACATGGTGGGGACACTGGGACCTGGCTGTGCTGGGCCAAGTGGGTAAAGGGGGCAACCCCTGGTCAGCCTGCATCCCTGCCAGCCCTCGGGGGCCTGTTGTTCTTACCTGGGAAGGGGTGGATCCTTGTGCCATGAATAAACCGGCTGTCCTCCATGTCTGCAGTCCTGCCTGGACAAGCCCTTTGCCCCATCCCTGCTCCCAGCAAAAAGGACATGGCACAGGTGTTTGGCAACATGGTTTACTCAGCTGAGGCCCGTGCAGGCAGCAGCACAAGGCAGGGTCACGGCAAGGCACGGGACCGGTGTGAGCAGAGACCGGCAGGGAGGGCATGGCCCCTGCAGCCCCACACCAGGCAGTGAGGGCTGCCAGGACCCCTGTGCCACAGCCAGCTGGACCACACCGGGGGTGAAGGTGAGCATGCAGCAGGGAGATGAAGGATGCATGTGGAGGGCAAAATGGGGAGCTGTGTGCCCCCTGCCTGCCCCTTTGCCATGCCTCTATCCCCTCCCACTCTGCCCAGGCCCCCTGCTCCAGCTTTGCCATCCCATGCAGCTCTGCTTGTGCCCCTCATCCCAGGCTCCTGCTGACCCTGCTCCTTGCTCACGATTGCTCCCACCCTCCACCAACATGCAGCAGATATGTGCCAGGCTGGGCATCGCCCCATCCTCCTTGGTGAGGATACTGCTGCTGCTGGTGTCACCAAGGCAGTGGGTGAGGCAGACTGGCACAGGGATGAGGGGAACACAGCCCATTGGCTGGTCTCAAGAGCAGGCTGGATTCTTCAGGGACACCATGCCACCTTACCCAGGGTATGCTGGGGGATGGCCAGTCACCCAGAACAGAGGGTGCAGGCCACAGCGTGCCCAGGGTGCCCATCCTGCCTCCAGGTCAGGGCAGTGAAGCAAGCCAGGAGCTGCCCCTCTGGGGGTACATGGTCCAGCCAGCAGCTCCCAACCAAGGCACCCTGGCAGTGGGGTCAGGGACCAGCCCCTATCCCACTGCTCCGTCCTCTGCAGCAGGCTTGCAGCCCTAGTGGTCCACAGTCTTCCTGGGAGACAGAGGGGCCAAGCTCCAACCACCTTGCCCTCCTGCTGCTCCAGCAAGTGCCAGGGCTACAGCCAGAAAGAGAAGGCACCATGGCTGCCCCAGGGCACTTGGGTGGAGAGCGGAGGGTCCCATCCCCTCCAGCAGCAGGGGTTCGGTAGAAGAATGCTTGGTGGGGACAAAGGGCCAGGAGGCACCCAGCAGTGCCCACATCCCTGCTCCAGGGCCAGCAGGGCCAGCCAATGCCCAAGTAGGGGGTGGGCCCTGCTCTGGCAGGAGGGGATGTGGAGCACTGTCATGCTGTCAGGTTGTGGGCAGATTTGGAGGCACCCTGGGCCCTCTGGATAATTGCTGTGCATTTCTCCCGC